TATCTATTTTTTTTTATTTTTTCCCCTAAAGGGAAGCAGGAATTCTGGGCCATTATTATTTTCATTGTTCCCAATAGTGACAGTGTAGCAGTAAACAGTTGTCAAGTTCAACCAAGAAGCAGATTTTTTTTTTTAAGTGGCACTCTCTGGGACAGTATTTCTAGGAACGATGCCCAGAATGTGTGGTGGGTATAGTTCCAGTAGCAAAATGTATGCCTCCATGCTCTTTATAGTTCTTATTCCTCCAAAATAAGCACAATTTTTGGTGCTGTTTTTAAGCACAGATTTTTGTTGCCAGCAAAGCTCTCCTACCACTAATAATAATGATTAGCTCCAAATAGGATCCTTTGTTTCTTTAGGTGCTGTACTTAACTAATTGACATTGGGCACATCTACACAAAATGCTGACTGCTCAGTAGCTGACTAATACTGCGCAGTAGCGTGTCACAGCATGGACAGTGCTAATACGCCACTGTGCAGTATTATTAGGCTACTAAACAGTAGTGTCACGTAATACGTTTGCTAGTGCCACTGTGAGGTAACTCCGGTTAATGCACATTTATTTAGTACTTGCTTACAAAAGTACTAAATAAATGCACAGCAACCACTACACAGCAGCGTCTCATGTAGACGCACCCATTAGCTATTGGCTGTCCTCAATATTTGCATGAAATAGGTAAATTGATTCCCTCCATGTTCCCCATTTTACAGATCAGCCACTTCAAGCCCAAAGGAGCTAATTTCCCCAAGTATACCCAGTAAGCCAGTAGCAGAACCAGAATTGGAAACTGTTTCTTACTGGCAGGCCTGTGCTTTGTTCTCACTAAACTGCCTTCCTTTTGAGCTTTGTATTCATACATCAGTGTACGTTATACATGTATACATAAGACATATATATGTACATATATTTTAATGTTGTTTCCATTTACATTAGGAGCAGGCCATAGAGGTGCTGACACGATCCAGCTTGGAGGTGGAACTGGCTGCTAAAGAACGGGAAATTGCCCAGCTTGTAGAAGATGTTCAAAGACTCCAGGGCAGCCTCACCAAACTTCGTGAGAACTCCAGGAGTCAGATCTCACAGCTGGAGCAGCAGCTGACTGCCAAGAACAGCACACTTAAAGTAAGGGTCAGTTTTGTATTCGGCACAGTTTGCTCAGTCTTTGCTTAGAGTATGGGCTTCAGGTAACCACATAGCTGTTTGCGGGTGCAGGCTCTGCTTGTTCATTGATGTTCTGAGTAGGGCCTGGTTTAAATTGCGGGCCCAGCTCGCAGCACAGTGGCTCCTTTTAATTTTGGAGTCCCCCCCTGCGTATCCCTATCAGCCCCTCCACTGTCTGCTCACTTCTGATGGCAGGGAGGTGAAAACTGCGGTTTTAAATATGCCACATTTTTGTCTCCCATCTGGTCAGCAGAAAACAGTGGGGCCGCCAGGGCCCCTCCTCCGCCAGTCAGCTGCGGGAGGCAAAAACCGCGGCATATTTAAAACTGTGGTTTTCGGCTCCGGGCCATCGGGAGCAAGCGGCGGGGCTGACAGGGCCCCTCTGCCAATCAGCAGCGGGTGGGGGACTCCAGAATTAAGAGCTGCCGCACAAGCTGGGCCTGCAATTTACACCAGGCCCTAATTATGGGTGCCACAAGTTGTTCCTTGTTCTGAGTTATTCATTTCTTCAGGATATAGTTTCAATATTTCTGACATCTTGTGGGGTTTCGTATAATTTATGACATTTTCACTGAATTTCTTCTACCTATTTCTAGTTCAAGTCCTACGTAGGAGAAAAAAAAGTCTTGGAGCATTAAAATCACTATAATTAGCTTCATTTTTCCCTCTTAAAACACAGCTACCATATATATGTCTGCAAATAACCCAATTGCAAGTCACATAGAAAATCTTTTTCAGGATTTAAAAGTCTTATAAATAAGCCATGTCTGTGTTCATTGTCACTGTTTTGTCAAGGACAGCTGTTATTTAGCAGTCAACCTGGGAACCCACCAGACTACTTTTTTTCTTCCATTGTTTGGAGGCACAGACACAAGAAAACTTATGGAACTAAAGGAAAGCAATTAACCATATCAGAGCACTTCTAAAAATGTTGGGCCCTCATCTTCCCCCCCTAAATAGAAATTGCTTCTAATTTGTAGCTAGCATTTCATTCCAGGCCTTCAGTGTATCAGCCAGTAGCACTCTTCAGACACCACAAAAATGACACCTATAGCTATTTCTTGAATGACCCCATTACCTTTTGTTTCAACAGTCTTTCTTTGTGCACCATTCCACACATTTCTGATCTGTCAGTAAGCATAAAAAACGTTTCCTGACATCTGTTGTGAATTACTGTCCTGTAACTCCTGTATCTTTCATTGTTCTGCTATCTATGATGGTAAATGGGATTAATGTATCTATTTCATTAAAGATGTCATAGTGTTTTTGGAGTATGTAGTATCCTGAGAGACTGAGAGCAGAGCTTACACGTATTACAGTGTGGGCAGTCATGGTGCTCTATGGTAGCTTGATCTATCAGTATGATGTACCCTTAAATTGCAATCCTCTAAGTTTTTTTCTGATTTTGACATTTTCCAAGGGATAGGCTGGTGCCTGTCAAGTAATAAACCAAAGCAATTAAGTTTGGTGTGTGTTGTATGTTTTAGGACATCTTTCTAATGATTATTATGCAATTTTTTTCCTTGCTGAATTTTTGTCTTCCATATTGATGGCATCACATCCTATCCCCATGTCATTATTTTAGTAGAAAGATGAAGGAACTGAGATGCTTTTGAGGGATAGATTTTAATGTCTTCACTTGAATTGTAATTTTTTCACATAGACAGATACACAAAATACCTTTGGATCCTTGTGTTTAGCATGCTCCTTTAGGACTGGATATACTCCGTCAATGTGTCTAACCATTAAGTTCAATAAATAGGATTGGCACTATTCTGTTGCAAAGCAACTCTGCAGCTGTTATTTCAGTAATCTGTTTCCATGTTCTCATAGGTTTGAGCCAATGACCTTATACTCTAGTTCTCATTGACAATGGATAAGGCCATTGATTATTTTGATCTGATTTATGGGGTTTGTGCCATTTTAATCATGTTTAACCCTATTTGCTACAACAAAATAGTAGCAAATATTACAATATTGCAGTAATGGTAATATGCAATTTACCTTTCTGTACCATGGTATTGGAAGAATCCAGGTGCAAGTTGCATTGTACTAAGAACCATATCAGACCAGTATTATGTAGGCCTAACATTTTGATCTTAGAGAAATTGCTCCTAAAATTGCTAAGATTTTAATAGTTGCCTTTACAAAAAATGAATCATTTTCACAAATTAAAGCTATGGGGTTTTTGTATCCGTTTCTTGGGGGAACTCTTTAATACTGTGTGGTTTAATGAAACAATCCAGCAATATTTTTAATGTCTTAAAAATTATTGCTTCCATATCTTCATCTGATCTAATAATCAAAATGTGTCCTCTAGTAACAAGACTTTCCTAACTGTAATTGTCTTAACCCCTTGTCACTGGGAGTCAGAAGTTCCCCACTACTAAACAAAAACCTAGCAGCACTACTTATCTAAGTCTGGCATCAAATGACCTGAGTTAATTGAATAAGCTACTTTTGAAATGTTGTATATGCTCTTGGCATTATCACTTAAGGACAAATTAATATTATTTTAATTATTATTTAATTGTTAATTCTTTTAATATATCTCAGACTTATCTAATACGTGAAAACTGCTTTCATTATTAAGTAATTTTAATTATTTATTTTAAAAATAATTTAGAGAGAAATTCATCTAGAGAGCACTCCTAGCATTTTATTTGCTATTTGTGTGTTCCTGTGGTACACTAAAGCAAGTTTATTTCTTCCTTCCAAATCCAGTATATAGAAATGTTTTTCACTACCACCAGAATATTACTGATACCCTGCATTACTGATTAGTGCATTTTTAAACTAGACATTAGAGCACACTTTATTTTGTCTGAATTAACCAGGTTGATATTTAGTGCAGGATATTAGTTCCTCCAGATTGTCTCACAGCTTGAACCTTTGTTACACTTTTTTCTATGCCTTTTACAAGGATCTTTGAGACAATTACCATACTAATATGTTTTACAACAGTCATTGACTGGGGAGATGCCAAATGTTTAAATGGTCTGATTACATACAGACCTTGTATTCTCAAATGTATTGGTTTGTATGGTTTATTATGAGTATAAAAGTACAGAGTTTCCATGGTAATATCTGTATTAGTTAGTTGGGAATGATGGGCTTATATTTTAATATAGTGTTTAAAATTTTTTAGTCCTCTGAAAGTTACTATTCTCTGTATTGGCTTACCATTGTAGCACTTATCTGTGGCTCTGATGCAGGGACATCGGATGAGGAAAATATTTTTGTATTATGCATATCTTCTGTTTTGTGCGCATGTGTGTGTACATGTGTGTGTTTGCCTGTATAATCTTCCTGAAATATACTCTGCATACCAGGCAACTACACTAATCTACATTTACTTTAAGGTTTGCTAAATGACAGCCAGCATGGCTTCGTCATGGGCAGGTCTTGTGTTACCAATCTCATGTCCTTCTACAACCAGGTAATTCACGCCCTGGATAAAAGAGCAGAGGTTGACACTATACCTAGACTTCCAAAAGGCCTTTGATCTGGTATCCCATGATATGCTCATGGGAAAATAGGAGGATTGTGGGCTTAACTGCTTAACAGTTAGGTGGGTAGGAAGCTGGCTGTAGGGTAGGACCCAGAGAGTTCTAATGAACGGACCTGTGTCATCCTGGTGAGAAGTGGCCCAGGGTGTCCCTCAGGCCCATGCTTGGTCCAGTGCTTTTTAACATCTTTATCAATGATTTGGATGTGGAGGTGACAAGCTCACTGGTCAAGTTTGCGGATGACACCAAGTTATGGGGCAGTGTGGTCACGCTTGAAAATAGGTCCACCTGTCTCTGCAGCCTAGACAGGCTGGCAAGTTGGGTAGATTGGAGCCAGATGAAGTTCAACATTGAGAAGTGTAAAGTGCACCATCTGGGGACAGACAATCCCCAACACACCTACAGGCTTGGTGGCACCAAACTGATTAGCACCACAACTGATAGGGACCTAGGGATAATAATAGACCATAGCATGAACATGTGCCATCAGTCCGATGCTGTAGCCAGCAAGACAAAGTCAGGCAGTCTACAGAGCCTCTGGCAGGTGGGGGTCAGGCCTAATTAGAGAGGCCGGCAGGTGAGGCTAGGCCTGATCAAGGGAGTTACGTGACTGACAGGAAGATACCTCATTGGAGGAGGGCTGCGTATAAGCCCAGACCCTGAGACCAGGGCTGTTAGTAACATTTTGGGAACTGGTGGAGGAACATTATGCAGCAGGAAGGCTGCTGCTCCTGAATGCCAGCAAGGGGAGGTTTGGAGAGGAACTAAGGGGATGGAGGAGGTTCCTGGGGACCCAGTGCAGGGTCTAGAGCCCTGAGAAAGCAGCTGGGTGCCTAGGCCTGTTGAAAGGCCAGGCCAGCCCAGAGAGTGAGGGACTGAATGGACAAGGGCCTAGTTAGGAGCCAGGGAAGCCCTGGAAAAGGGGCTGAGAGCTAGTGGGCCTCCTGAGGAGCTAGGCAAGCCCTGAGAGAGGGGCAGATGTGTGAGAGACCTAGGGAAGATCCTTGGTAAACTCAGTGAGTGTGGCAGAGCACGGGGGCCTATTGAGGGGTCCAGATGAGCCCAGAGAAGGAAAAGGGCCATGGTAAGAAAGATCTGTTGGGAGCTCTGGGTGAGCCAAGAGAAAGAGGAAATGATCTATAGAGCAGGTCCAAGAGGGCAGACCAAAGAGAAGAGAGGGCTGGCTGCTTGCGAACCTCAACTGGTCCAAGCTTGGCCAGGGCCCAGGAAGAACCAAAAGGTGAAATAGCCCACTGGGAGAGACTTCCAGAATCAGGAACCTGGAGTCTCTACTGGCCTGGAATGAGGGCCTAGGAGAGGCCAGAGGTCTCTGTGAGGGGGCACAGCCAAGAGGGAGGGGTTGAGCGGCATGCAGTCCAGGATGCTGATAGCTGGTGCTAGGCTGTCTGAGGAGAAGGGATCAAGGACAGGGGTCTGAGAGTGAGATGGGGA